TGGTTTAAGGTTTATTGTTGGTTATTTTAATACAGCATTACAAATAATCACTTGGCCCATATTATGGTGAAGAGTAACCATAGATGTGAAAGGACCTTATAGGTAATCCATTTCAATTATTTCATTTTATAGATGAGAAAACTGATTCCCAAAGAAGTCAAGTGACTGCCTGCAAACCCCATGTGCCATACTTCCTTAATTCTAAGACACGGTTGACTGTAAGATGAACCATTGATTTAATAACAGCTTCTTGAGGAGAAAAGGAATCACCACATTAATGTATATAGCAAGCATAAGATGCACCTGGATTTCACAAATGCTACAATATCAGAAGGTACCTCTTAGAATCAAAGGAAGCAGTATAAGGTGGTAGTTAAGAATGCAGGCTTTGAAGCCAGACTTCGAGCAATTGAATGCTGTCTCTGTGTGTGACTTTGGGCAAGTTACTTAACCTCTCTGTTGCTCAGTTTCCTCATCTGTAAAATGGGGATAATAGAACCTACTTTAGAGGGTGGTTGTAAGGATTAATCAAGTGTCTGTCTTAGCTATCTAAAGCACATATAACAGTACCTAGCACATAGTAGGTACTCAATATATATTAGTTTTTATGAAGAACAGTGTGTTCATATAAAATGCCTAGAAATAGTAACTTTCAAAGTTTCTTTAATATTCTCATTCTTTTCTCTGCTAGACTAATTATATGATATTCACCCTCACTGTTCATTCATTCCTCTAGCAATCATTGATTGTGTGCATACTGTATGCAAGGTAAGAATTGTGGTATGAATAATAAATTCAAAAAGATTTCCTGTATAATCTGTACATGTGACCTAATTTAATGGCATAGTTTAATTTTTTAATCCATGAAGCTTGGGAGATTCATAAAGGTGACTCTGACCCCACAGGTCCCCCCTCTTGCCACCCTGATCAGGGTTTGTTGAATGGCAGACTCAGAAGGTGGCCCTCTCCCCTTTCCCAGAGAAGTAGCTGCTGCTTTATTAAACAGAGCCTCAAATGTCAGTCACCTGGATTCTGATCATCAAAAGGAAAGGGCATTGATTTTGGTCTGCATCCTCCCCTGGTCTGGTTGCCCCAGTGATTTAAATTCAGGGAGATCAGCAGCTGCCGTATTGGGATTTCCCCAGCATCAGTACAGACTAGCACAGGGTGTCTTGATGGCCTCAGCGTACATGTGGTGCCTGGTTTTTCTGCCAGAGTACAGAGGGGTATCTGAGGGGAAGGAAGTGCCCACTCACTTTGGCCATCGTGAATCACCAGGGCTACAGCCTTGGCAGGTGTTGCTGTATAGGGAGTCAGGTAGAGTGGGGGGGGGGGTCCCCTGGCCCTGAGTGGAGCTTGACATTCATGCTAAACTCTCTGAAAGCCTCATCAGGGTACTAATTGACGGCCCGATAGTAATGGCACATCTTTGCAGCAGTTCAGCATCTATTCAGAAACACCCTGTGGTCTCCCTGTTTTAGGTATGTGTGGGAGCAGTTAACTTTCTGTTCCCAGCAACCAGAATGGAGAATTTGTGGGGAATGTCAGTCACTGTCTGAATAAACATTAATGGCAGGTGTTTTTCTCAAACCTGTATAGTGGTTTTGAATATATTTCTATCTTAAAGCACTTTACCTTTTTTTGTTTTTTAATAGCAAAGTGGAAGATGCATTCTACAAAGGTGAGCTCAGGCTGAATGGGGAAAAATTATGGAAGAAAAGCAGAACGGTGAGATATTAAACCTATAAAGTGGCGGCCAGATATTTTGTCGGATGCTCTGCCAATACTCAGTTAATACTACCCCACACTTCCCCTCAGGCTCCTCACTTGGAGCGTGGCTGCTTGTGTATGTCTGCCTTACCTCTCTGAGGTCCTGTGTGGTCCTGGTCAAGCTAGTGTGAATCACCAACAGGCTTCAGTCGCACAGGCCACTTACTCTTTTGCAGCATTAGTGACTTTGTGATGAAGCTTCCCCTTTTTCTTTAAAATTTTAGGACAAGCCACTATCAGGATTGGCAAAACTCCATTAATTAAACTTCTAAGTCATTAATGTTAACCCCTATGGAATCATCATAATTAGGTTAAAAGGAAACATTTGATCCTTGTAGAGGTTTTCTTTGGCCCAGTGTTGTCTGAGCAGATGTGTAATTCTATGCAGTTGGGCAGCACCTGCCAAGCACTTGCTGGAGCGCTGCTGTGTGCCCAGGGCTGGGGTAGCACAAGGAGGATGATGTGACAGCACATGTTACAAACGATGGTCCACGTTTTCTGACAGGTCCATGTCAACACCTTTGTTAAGTGAAAGGAGTCAGTTACAAGAAAGTATATTTACAGTACCCAGTCTTGAACAATAAATCACTGTGTGTGTGTATAGGTATATGTATGTATACACACTTAGGAATTCAGTTAAAATATTTTTGTAGAAATAAATTACATATACACATGTGTCCAGAATTAAAATATTAATATTACTAGTATTTATCTCTGAGTATGGCATTATGGGTTATATCGATTTTCTTCATGCTTTTATTTTCTGAATTTTGTACAGCGAGTATGTATCACTTTTATAATTGGAAAAAACAATAATGGTAGTCAAAGTTAACAAAACACAATAGCGTGTTAAAAGTATGGGAGACACGTGATGTACGAGGCATTGGAAGACATAACCTGACTAAGGGGTGTCAGTGTCCAGGAAACAAATGTTCCAGGGAAGTTAGACACACTTCGGAGATTGTTTTATTTAAGCTTCTTTCATATTTCAACACAGTCCCGGGGTTGGAGGAGTGGAGCTGCATCTTGTTACGCGGGGACATGGGATAGTGTGAGGCTGTCAGCTATGGATCTGGTGAGCACTGAGGCTGTCTTCAGCATTCTTGCTCTCTAGGATCATACAGGCTCTTGGGGCTAACTGGACAGAATGAGGGAAAACTCCCTGATGGCCTGTCTCACACCTTCAAGTCACAAGGGCCCACGATCCTTTTTTCCCTGACAGCGCTTGGCCAGACTGGTTCAGGCCCAAACCGAGGCGTGTCAATCATTGCTCAGTGAGCTGCACAAATTTCAGGCACTCCTGACATGCATAGGAGATCAGCCCTTCTTGTCTGCTAATTGCTTTTCGCTCATTTTGTCCAGCCCCTGTCTCCTCAGCCACAGTATTCCAAAGACAAGGCCGTGTTCTTGGAGTGAGGAATGATTACTCCCTTAAAATGCCCTCCTCTGTGCCAGGGCCTCATTTACAAACCCCACAAGCCTGTTTTTCTCCCTCTGCTTTGAGATATTGTTAACTACAGCCTAATTACTGCTTCTTCGTTCTGCCTTGGGTGTTCTGTTATCTCGGCTGCCTTCCAGATTTCTCCTGAGGGTCAGCAGAGGAAGGGGCCAGCATTAATTTTCGACTGCTTTGTTACTAGGGAGGCTTGGTAGCCATAGTAACTGCAGCTAAGGGGAGATTTGAAATGTAGATATTTGGAACAGCCCCTAATCCCAGCCAGTTTTGCTCTGTGTCTGCTGTGCCCAGTCTCCCACATGAGAAAAACGACAGGGCCTCGGAGGGCAATAGAGAGCCCCTCTCCTTCCTTGGCCCGCTCCGTGGAGGCTGTGCCTGGCTGCTGGCCCCAAGGGTCAGGCACTTGTGTGGTGCTGCTGCTCTAACCCTGGCTCCCTGCAGCTGAGCAGAGCTTTCCTGCAAGCTGCAAACCAGAGTATCCTGTAAGTGCTGGGTATCTGCTGAATTAAGCAGTGGGTTTGTGGAGCCCAAAGTAGAGGGGACTGAGCCTTCCTAACCCATCCTTCTCTGGAGTTAATTGGGTAAAGCAGAAACATTCCCTCTGTTCTCTGCTCTAGGACTAAGCCCCCAAAGGGATTCACTCTTCAGCTACACATTAGCCCGCCCTCCCTTTTAGAGGCAGACATCATGCACAGTGCATGTCTGAAAGGATACACCAGAACTGTCGCCTTTTCTTTGCATATACTTTTGTACCTTTTAAATTTTGTACCACATGTGTAGTATTTCTTATCAAAAATGAATTTTAATGAAATAAAGTTATGCCAAAAAAGGTAGAGCAGAGTTACCAAGCCTTGTATTTCTGGACAATGATTTTAAACATCCAGACGGTTGGGCTGAGGTCATTTTAAAAAAATTGAGCCCAAAACTCCAGGAGGATAGCCCCCTACCTCGCACCCCCATGTCTGGTGACAGCTCTTCCCTCACACACTGGGATCCTGAGCTGCTGGGACCAGGTATCTGTTGTGGGCTGTCCACAATCTGGCAGCATTGCCCTGAGTCTTTGGGCCTTGGAGCTGACATGGCTACCCCAGAGAATGCCCTCCACTGCTGGCTCAACCCAGAGCTACCGATTTGGGCCAGAATGGGTTTGACTTCACCCTTTTTAGCCTATGGGTCACCATCCAACTCTACTTTCTGTTATGTGGCATTCCACCTTTGTGAGTTGACTTCTGCCTCTCTTCTTAGTTATCTGGCATCAGTGGAGCCAACCAAATGGAGAACCATTTCCCTACAAGGTACAACTGTCCATTGGTCCACAGTGACTAATTTCCAGCCAGCTGTCCATGAGTTACATAGCTCATCTAGACTGGAATCAGTGAAAAATGTTACACTGGAAATTGTCTTCTCATTGTATGTAGTTGATTACCCGTTGCCATCAAGTCAATTTCAACTCATGGTAATCCTATGTGTTGTAGAGTAGAACTGTACTCCATAGGGTTTTCATGGCTGTGACCTTTCAGAAGCAGATCGGCAGGCTTTTCTTCCAATGCACCTTTGGGCAGGTTCAAACGGCCAACCTTTTGGTTAGCAGCTGAATGCTTAGCCATTTGTGCAACCCAGAGACTCCTGTGTATTACAGTAATGTAATGATTACTGTGCTCATATTCTCTGAGACTGTGCCCCACTTTCTTTGTCTCACTATTGTTACCAAAATAAATGCCTACAGTTATTTTCTGAAATCATCCAATAGAAGTGAATAATAGAGCCACACCACACAAGGACCAACCATAAGCAGACAGTTGTCTAGGTTGAAGGAACAACAGTGTTTGCGAGCATTTGAGGCAACCCCCAAGTGAGGCCCTTTCACCCGAGGTACCAGGGACAAATGATCGTTCGATTGTTACAGAGAACCCGGGGCCTTTTCTCACCTGCCCCTCTTTTGGCTGATTATAGATAACCCGGTAAAAACTCAAAGCAGGGATGTTTGCCTTTGCCTGGGTTTCCGAAGGCGTAATAAAGACTCGGTTTTGTTTTTAATTTTCAGGTGAAAGTGGGAGATACATTGGATCTTCTCATTGGAGAGGATAAAGAAGCAGAAACAGACACAGTAATGCGAATTCTCCTGAAAAAAGTGTTTGAAGAGAAGACCGAAAGTGAAAAATACAGAGTGGTGTTACGGAGGTGGAAGAAGTTAGAGTTGCCTAAGAAGAGTATGTCTAAATAAATGGATTGCTTTGTAGAGAGAAAGCTGCTTTCTAGTGGTGGGGGAAGGGGGCAGCTTAAATGAGGACACTTTTATTAAAATAAAGTTCTCTTACCATTTGTGGACTCTGCCGAGCCATTTTGTGGAAATTGGGATCCATACCTTGGAGATACTCCCAGTGGCCTGGGTTTCCCTCGTGGTCTTGGTCAGGCTCATTTTTACCTCATCAGCATGAGAACTGTGCCCAGAGTGAGATGTGGGCCGAATGAACTGAACCCAGAGAGTTTAATGACTTGCCTGCTGTTTCCCACATTAACTACCTCACAGGTCATTGTAAAATAAACTGGCCTTCTTGTTTCTTAGTGTTTTTATTTCAGTATTACCCCTGCCAGCTCAGCTTCCTTGGGTTCAGCCTTCTTGACTATACCAAACAAAGTCAAGGCTACCGTCACATCCTTAGGGGCAAAGCATTGCGAGAGCCCTGTCTCTGCCTCCCTTCCTGAACTACCGACATGTTGGCCTTAGTTCCCTTCAGTTTGTCTTCAGCAGTGTGGATGAGTAAAGTTGCTTCAACTAATTCCATCACGGGCTAGTTAGGGCCCATCTGAAATTGTTCAGGGAGGGGTCAGTAAACGAGGGCTTTGAACAGGTTCAGTCATGGCCGACAAAGCAAAACCAGAACAGACGTGAATTTTGAAAATCTGAGTGATCCGAAATGGGAAAAATTATGGGTCGAAGCCCTGAAATGAGACTCAAAAGAGGCGTAGTGAGCCCTTTCAGGGGCCTGATGCGGGAGATTGGGTTATTGCCAGGACTGTGGAGAGTGACATTCCAAATGGCTCGGTTGGCCGCCATCTTTGAGCAGGTCACCACTGTTTCCAGCTCTGCCAGTCAGGAGATTTGGTTGCTATGCAACACGCATACTGCCCTTGTTTTCTAAGAGGGAGATTAAGTTTCTAGCAGGGCTTTAACCTGAAATATTTCTGGTTCCAGTTCACCAACATTTTAAAAATTTGGGTCTGTTCGAGTTTCACTTTGTTGGCCATGACTGAACCAGACAGAACCGGTTAGAAGCCTTGCAATAAACTAAGACAGCCCAAGGCTTGTTTTTGTATGGCCCTGGAGCTAAGAATGGTTTTTATATTTTTAAAAGGCTGTTAAAAAAATACATAACATAAATGATATGTAGCCACAAAAGCCTAAAAAATTTACTATTAGACTTTACAGAAAATGTTTGCTGACTCCTGGTTTAAGATAATAAACTGAGTATTTAATTTTCAGCTGAAAGTTGGAGATATGCAGATTTTATCCATAGAATAATTATTCTAAATTAAGACCAAGGAATTAGG